CCGCGGGGCCGGCCCCGCTGCTCCCGCCCCTCGGCGGCACCGGCAGCGGTTCGGCGGGCGGAGGCCCCCGCGCGCGGGCAGGAAGAGACCGGAGCGGGCGCCAGGAGTGAATTTCATTGATTGCGAAGGCTCCACGGGCACACAGCAGCAGCGCGCGCGGCGGACACGGAGGCAACCGGCTCTCGCTGACAGCCCGTTCGGCAGGGAGGGGGAAAAACGCCCGCGGGCTGCAGAAAGGGTCCTCTGCACCACCCAGGGTCCCTCTGCTCCCCGCGCCCGCCCGCCACTCCACACTCCTCTCCCCTGGCCCTCGGGTGCCAAATCTGACTGTGCCCCTCGTCCCTCCCCCCCGGCTCGACCCGTGAAAGTTAAAATTATTTACACTTTCAGCCGTTTAAAAACCCAATAAAATAAGATTGCATATGTCCTACTGGGGATGATGTGGGTATTAGCAGCTGCTACAGCTAGCTYGGTACTCTGCGTGCAAAACGAAAGACAAACAGAAGACAGACCAAAATACTGCACCATGACTAGGAAGCGCTGGCTGGGGTTGGCGTGGCGCTCGCGTGGGGCTCCGCGCGCCCCTCCGGCCCGCCCGCCGGGCACGGGCTCCCCCCTCGGCCCCCTGGCGGGCTGGGCGCTGGGAGGGTGCAAAGGACTGGGTGTTCCTGACACAGCACATTAACACTGACACTTTTCCAGCCCAGTCAACACAAATATCTAAAAACCCACTGCACGTCGGCCATGCGAGTTCTTCCTTCTTTACAGTGATGGAGAAAAAAGGGACGCACAAAGAAGACCTAAGACACAGATGCTGCTGCCAGCRCTGCCTCCTCCTCCTCCTCATCGCCTTGCTTCGGCTGCTCAGCCAGTGCGGATGAGGGAGAAGCCAGAGCCGGAGCAGCGGGAGACTCCTTTGCTTCCTGCTCCTCTCCCAGCCCCAGCTCCACATCCATTTGCTCCAGCTCCCTTTGATCCAGTAGCTCAAAGTCATCTCCTTCCTCCTCATCCTCCGGTGAAGCTGCTGTCTCTGTCTCCACCGCTTCGGTCTCTGACAGCTGTGCTTGAAAGCTCAGTTTCTCTTCGGGCTCCGTGGGGAGGAATTCGGAGAGGGAAGGACCCTCGCTGGCCTCCGAGGAGCGCAGCAGCGCCGAGAGGGTGTTCTGCACCGCGGTGGTAATGGCAGTGGTGACGATCTCCTCGCTCAGCGTGTCGATGCGGATGCCCAGCCCCGCGGCGGGGGCAGCCTGGGGCTCCGCGTCGCCTCCGGCCGCTTGCCCGCTCCCATTGAAGTGCGTATTTACAAAATGGAGAGGAGACGCCAGGCGAAGGATGGAGAGGTCGGAGTCCGCAGCCTCCTTCTCTGCCGAGTCCAGCTCGCGGGCAGCGTGGGCGAGCTCGGGACCCAGCGGCACCCCGAACGCGTCTTCCTCGCTCTGTGGTCCCAGGTCTCTGGAATGATACTCTTCCACGGAGGGGAACTCTGCCAGGTCCTTGGAAAACGCCTCCTCTGGCTCACTGTGCAGGCTCTGCTGATCCAGGTCTGAAAGGCACCAGGGTTAGCAGCGACATTAGGGCCCGGCTYCCCCACCTCCGACCCGCTGCTGACACACCAGGCTCGCTCCTAGGGGCCCTCCCAGTTGTTGGAGCACAGCAGCATGCAGGTGTCTGCACCTATTCCCTTCTCCACATGGGACAGCCCACCTCATGGCCCTTCACCTGCCAGTTCTACACAAGATGCTCAAGATACCACATCTGAGCCATKACCTCCACACTCCTCACCACCACCCAGTGCTTCTCTGGGCTCATAAGGTGGGTTATGAGCTCCACCTGCTGCTCCATCCAGCATCAGGGGCTGGGTGTGCAACGAGAGACACTGCACAACTATTTCTGCTAGTCTGCTCCATCCTCCTGTTCTCTGCCAACTAGCAAAGACTTTGACAATGACTTTGCTCTCGTTCTGGAGTGACAGGAGGAGTGACAGGAGAACACTGTCTTGTGGAATGAACTGTAGCTAGAGGAAGACAGGACCAACTCTGAATCATAAGTCAGGACACGCTCTGCTGCTTTTTTTCTTTGCCTCCACACTTTCTCCTGCAACAGCTGTCTTCCTATTGTCCTGCTAGGGTGGATGGCAGGGGAGAAGCAATGGCCTCACTCAGATCCCAAAGTTGTTTGGGGACAATACATGGAGGACATGGCAGGTATCAAGTATCCCCACACGTACCTTCTGAAACGTCTGTGAGCTGAGGGGTGGTAGCCCTTGAGACAGAGAAGCCGCCGCTCTCCAGGATGGATGCCTCCTCGTCAGAGAGCTCGGAATCCGTGATGGACAGGGCCAGGGCTGTCTTCTTCACATCCACCTGCACAGGAGGAAGGCAGAGGGACAAATTACCCCTGCTGCCTACGGACTCCACACAAACAAAAGTTTCCTGACAGTTGTTTGTTGTAAAGACTCTGCACAGGGACAGTACAAAAGCAACAAAGGGTTGCACAAAGGGATCATTGCACTGCTATGGAAGGACAGTCTTGGTTCAATGTTCTCCTGCAATAATGAAGTGCCTGAAACTTTGCTAGCTCTTCGTGCTGAATCTGGGAGAGCTCGCACAAGGTAGGGGTTTAGCTCCTCRAGGTCTCCCTGCAAAGGGCTTTGTGCCTTCCTCCTCTCCCGGGACCATTAAATTGCACAAAACTCTCTTTCCCTGTCACACTTCCCTAGGAAGACTTCTACAAGGAGCAGCAGGTCCAAGTATCTGCATTCACTGGGAACCTAAAGCTTCAAGCACAAAGCTTCAGCACAGGCAGATGCTAGTACAGCTCCTTCCCCCTTTCCAATGGTGAGCTGAAGCCTCTGCACATTATACTCAGACAGCCTGTCTCTTCAGGAGACACTTGCACTCTCTGACCACGAGGCGTTAGCATCAGAGCAGTCCTGCAGCTCAGCAGAGAAGGCCAGAGCGGGGCTCACTCTGCTCTGCTACTGCGTCACCAGCCCTGCGATGCTGTATTTGCAGTGCCCGGATTGCAGACTCAGCTTTCACCAAACCATTCCTTTCCTGACGGGCATTTGGCAAAGAAACACCTTGCTCCTGCACTGCTGCTACCAGCGTAGCTGGACCCTGATGCCTCCYGTGCTCTTACCACTGGGGAGAAGCCGGACAGCTCTGCCTCGCTCTCGCTCTCCGTCTCGGCCGTGGGCTCGTCGCCCGCCGCAGGCTCGCTCTTCCCTTGCCGCTCTGTGAGACAGGGAAGAAAGTCCTGCACGTGAGCCTGAGCCAGGAATATTTCTTATCCACCRCTTCTCCTGCCCTGTGAAGCTGCACAGCTTCTCCCCAATCCCAAGGTTCCCAGAGACAACTCCAATCTGTTGCTGTTATTCAAAGGATAACAGGCAGTTGTCTGCCCAGCTGCCCTCCCCGTAACTCTCAAGTTTCAGTCTCTTTCCCTCTGCTCCATCCCAGCTGCTCAGCCCTACCCTGCTGCCCGCAATRCGCCTGCGCTGCCCCTTTCCCAGGCTCCATCCTGGGAGCCCAGCGCCGCAGAAAGCCAGAGGGAAGGCAGGTCCTTACTCTTTTTCTCATGCTTGTGGTGGAGCGTCTCTGCCTTCATGCTGTAGTCCAGTTTCATCAGGACGGGCTCCAGGCGCGTGTACATCCTCTGGATCAGCTCGTGGTAAACCACGAGCGGCCAGAGCAGGATGCTGAGCACTGCRAACACAAGGAAGGTGAGAGCCAGCCCGGGCACAACCCGGCCAGCAAGAAACTCTGCATCAAGGGAAGCAGTCGGATGACAGGGGCTTTGCCATTTGACTCTGCCTAAAAGCCTTGTCCTCATCTCTTCCACTCACTGTGCAGKTGCTTAATTAGCCAGCTTTTCAGACCATCTGAACAGCTTTCAGAGCTAGCAGGGACTTGTGATGCAGTGAAGAAAGGTCTCACTTCAAGCTCAGTGTGCAGTTCCTTTAATAACTCTCCATTTCAAGTCTAGCATACAGGGATTTGCCCACCCAAAGAGCTGAGAGACTGCAGTTTTCTGCCTCTCTGAGCAGCAGGGTCCCAGCAGCAGGTAGAGGAGGAAAACAATGCTCTAACCAGGGCTCCCTCTCCCGACTTGGCAGCTGAACTGCACGCGCGCACTGAAGGCGACAGACAACCCAGGCAGGCACAGGGGCTGCACTGACTTATTTATCATCAAGTGCAGATCCCCTCAAGAAACACACAGTCATGCTTCTCAGCAGCAGCACAGGTAGGCCACACTTCAGCTTAAATCAGATAAGAGAGCTGCTTATACTCACAGATGATGTAGGAGATCATTATGCCTGGAACATAGTGTCCAACTACAGCCAAAATCAGGCAGCCTGAGCAGACACTCATGCAGAACTGAAGAAAGAGAGAGAGAGAGGAACAAACAGAAGTCACAAGAGGCAGGGATACATCTATGCATCTGACACAGGAAAAATCCAGTTAGAGCAAGGGAGAGATGCTCCTGACAAGCTCAGTACACCRAACTCCCTGGAAGCAGCTCAGGGGGTTATTTTCTTGCCCAACTTTACATGGAGCGTGTTCAGATGCTGATGATCGCAACTTGGACAGGTTGGTTGGGTTAAGCTCTAGGCATACAAAGAGATTCAAGCACAGGAAGACAAAGGTAGCCCAAGATCCTGGTAAAATTAAACAATCTTTGGGAGAGTTCTGCAAATTTCTTCATGAACTGAATACTGATCCTTGAGGTTAAGATGGATACTCAAATTGTGATTTTTGAGTATATTTCCTTCTGCAGAGCTCATTCTGTTAAAGAAGCCTGCATTGTCCTGACAGAGACAGGAAGCTGCTACAGAGCCACMGGACGATGTGTCACTGCCATGCAATAAACCTGCTGGCAGAAGCATCAGCAGGACCCAYAACCCCACCAGAAAGGTCTTGCTTCTCTAGAGAAGGTACCACAGCTTGTGGCCTGTCCTGCGTTCTCTGGGGGATGGTGAGAAGCAAGAACAGTCACCCTGCAAGCCAGAGGGCATGGGTTAAGATACCAACTACACCCACCAGTGGGAAGCTTCGGTCATAATGAACAGGCCAGGGCACCCTAAGGCCTTTGCTTCCGATTAACTCTTGTCTTTATAGACATCTTGGTCCCACTTCCCTACTCCCCTGCTGCTCAGACAGGGCTGTAACAGAAGAGGAGCAATCCAAAGTGACAGGAACCTGCCGTTTTGGTACTCTGGACTCCAGCAAGCCTGATACAATCCTATGGGCTGGTCTGTCATATTTTTTTCATGATGCTAAGACAAATCCTGTCTATAARCCCTCTCCAAACAACACGTGACAGCCACCAGAACATGCTTTATGAGAGGTTTCCATGCCCCCAAGAACACTGCTGCATTTGGACCTCGTTAGCAACAACCTGCAAAGTAGGTGGGACCAGATTAAAGGGTTGAAGGGAGCCTGTTGGTTTCCCTTTTCCTCCTYACTCCCAACCAAAGAACTTCCTTTGCACACTAGCAAATAAACCACAGCATAGCTGCCATTCACAGAAGGGGTTAAGTCCAGCTCTAGCTTACAAATCCTGGAAGCCAGTTACTCATTACTTAAGCTTCCTATAGTCTGAAAGTAAGGAATAGCAAATGTTGAACAGGGATAGCAATTGTAAAATATTGGTCTGACATTCCTCCATCTCCCAGACTATCAGCAATGGAGAGAAAAGCCCCTGCACAGAAGAGTAGGTGTCTCCAGCTTACCTTAGCAGGATT